ACAACCCAAGATACTCAGCCCCAACCATTTTGGTGCTTCCGGAATATTGTTATTTTCTGGTTACTCCGGTGAAAACAATTCTTAGTTGGATCACGATAGCACTTCTATATATCGTTAGAAATTTTCACCGTTCAGTTCATCTACTTACTTCAGTGAATTGACTGGGTGTATGGATAAACATACTGANCTTCATTCATCCCACTCTCTCTCTCGCGATACTTTTAGACCCCGGGATCCGGTAGCGCGTTGGGCGGCAGCTACTCTCCCTATCATCCCTCCAGTTTCTCCTCTCGGTGCTCCAGTCGTGGACGAAACGAAACCAGCTTTCATTCGCTCGGACTGCCTGCACCAGCATCCGCCTGTTCCTCCGCCTCGTCTTCTTCTTCCTCAGCGCGGTCCTATCTACAGGACGTGTATCAACAACAGCAGCGTGAGCTCCAGTACCACCACCATCAGCAACAGCAACAACAACACCATCCCCATCATCCTCATCAGCATCAACAAGCTCCGCCTCCGTCCATGTTTTCACATCACAACCAGAAATCTCCGGTGCACGAATTGACTACCAGGCAGTTACTCTCCGAAGCGGCTGCCACTGCCTATGCCCACGGCCTCGGTAAGTTATCTCGCTCGAATTTGTACGTGCCCCCACTGTCTCTTTGCGCCCCTGGTGTGTTAACACAGCATAGAGGATGTTTCCCGTGACCTCTTGCTTACAAACTATGCTAAAACGTATGGGTGTTCTATCAATCTGAGAATGACTACTTTTCTACTATTCTAGGTGCTCCGCCAATGACGGAATGGTCGATCAGTGACGCAACAGACCCATCATGTTTCATTTATTGCACTCAACAGCACTCAACTTTGATCGAAGACGATGTCCTTAACGTTCGCACAACATTATGTCTGTCACACATACAAGACGTAAGACAACAGAACTCGTAGCAAGTGGAAGATCAGAAAAACTGCAATAATGACCGCTGAAGGGAAAGATGATCATGACACAATTGGAAGCACGAATTTACGTAGTTGAACGTCGTTCAGTATGATAACCTTCCGTCAAACGCTGACACATCACCGCGGTATAGTAGTTATTGCAACCAGCATGATTAAATGGGCGCACTGGAATGATCTGTTTTTCTATCCATGCTTCAATGCTGCCACACACCCTACTTTATTCTGGTATGCGAGTTGTTCTTTAGCATCCTCGTCTGCTCCTCCTCCTGATTGCGGCCACTGGTTTTCGGTCGAGTTCAACATAGGCATCTATCGAAAACCGCGGGCTATGCAAATTACATTTGAAGACAAGCATAGGAAGTGTGTAGAGTGTTTCACTTCGTTGTGTTTGTTGGTCGTTCGATTTTTGAATCATATTCGAGTTTGCCTGTCTGTACTGAGTGTTTTCCTGATCACTGGAATCAATATGGATTCTTTGGTAGTGATGCGCCGCGATTGAATTAAAAGTGTGCATTTGGAAAGTGATACTCCAAGACTGGGTGTCACCTACTCCCGCTTTGAGATTAAGTGGCCAGGAATCAGTTGATTGTTTTTCCCGCTTAGGTAGTTGCATGACTAATGACGGTAGCGCAACAAAGGAGATAACCGCCCGTATTTTCAAGGTTTGAGCAGTGTATGCAAGGCCGAAACACTTTTGGCGTAGATGTGGCGTGTCGCTGAAGTTGAAAGGTTGCGTATTCAGTGCCACCGTTCGTTGAGTTCTGCTTTATGGTTGTGAGACCTTGAGTTTGCTAGTGGAAGATATTCATCGATTAGAAGTTTTATATTCTCGGTATCTACGTAGTTTAGCCCACGTGAGATGGAGCGAACGGGTTAGTAATCTGGAGGTTAGTTGTCGTGTGTTTCGGAGTTTCTTAGGGACTAGTAGGCTTCGCTGGCCGGAGCACGTACTACGTATGCTCAGCTGTCGTCTTCCGCACTGCTCCTTGTTCGCTGCAGTCGCTCCCGGCTGGAGAAAAGCACTTGGAAGTCAACAGATGACGTGGAGATGAGGTACGATGAAATACACCGAGCTGTTAGGTAGATTAGGTGTCTCGCGTCTTCCAGGTTGGAGTCCGAAAGCCTCTTTAACTGGTTGGTTGGAGACACTGAATGATATGGCATCGAACCGATAGTAGTGGTGTTCTTGTTGTCATTTCTTATCAGGCCAGAGTGCTTGAAACTGTATGCACAGTTATATTGCGTATTCNCCCCCCCCCCTCGTCAAAATAGGTCCAATCCCTGTCAAGCTTGCGTAGTATCACTAACCTTTAATGCATTATGAGTTTGGCAGCGATCAGTGAAGTTCACTTCACTGTATTTCGCTTCACGATGATAATGATGTCCTGAATTTCCAGGTGTTCTCTTTTGTTTTTACGAAGCCGGTTTTGCATCCCCAACAGGCACAGTAGACAGGGGACCCACAGTGCCATCAGAAGCATTTTGTAAACACAGTCATCGTTGCTTTGATAGTACACTCATCCTGTTATCCTGCTTTGCGCCTGTGCTCTACCGCTTTAACGACCCGGGCTCTAGTTGTGACTTATCTTTGCAATATGCGGTAGAATGACCACCTATTCGTCACAGTGAAACGACTGTCAAGGCAACTCTAAGCTTCCACTAGATTAGATTTGGATGACTGCTTAGGTGACGTGGCAGTTATCTCACTATTATTTTTTCCTTTTCTTTCAACGATGCGTGATCACACACGGTACCAAGCAAACTGAATTTTGAATATCAGAGTTCGTGTGGTTCTCTCGGTCGAACTGGGGATCATATTGTGTGTGTGTGTGCTACATCTGTGAGTTGTCGGAGGACGAAATGTAGGCACTACGATCAGTCACCGCATCCATGTTGTCAAACTGGTTCTCTCTCTCTCTCGCTGTTCATCGTTGTCAATCTTTAAACACACACACACACACTGCTAGTTTGGTGTATTGATGTGCTTAACGTTGCATAAGCAGTTCGAGTACATCGTTCCACTTTCCACTGTCGGCTAAGTCTTGACCCACTCAATCTGTTGGCCGACTGACTCGTGTTGTTGACTGTGTGCTGGCTGCGTCATAAGCACATTCCTGCCAAGCGCGGAACCGCGCGTGTGAACCACGTGCCGAACACCGATCCGGAACACAAGGAGTGTAATTTGCGCTAAATTGTTTGTGTGCAACACAGAGCAGGAATGAAAATATACTCTCTCGTTGTCCTATGCGGACTGATTCACAACCGCGGGCCTTGCGAACGGTCTGTGTTGTTGTATATCTATCGAACATTTGGTTATCGCACCTCGCTATCGTTTATAGCGTAATCTCTCTACCCGTTTAGGCGCGATGGACACCAAGATAATTCGATTATCGCGTACGCGATAGAGTTGTGTGAAGAAAGAGCTCATGATTATTTTTGAATCTAGGCACCGCCGTCGACTTTTGGTAAGGTTATGATGTGTTTAATGCTGATCATATTTCGCGGTGGAACCTGGGTGTAAGAATGTTCTCTGCAAATTGGCCCGTATCGGTCTGTGTTGGGAATAATCAAGCGTCGGACTGTGTTTACTGATTTGTCACACGAACGGGAACCAATAAAAACACGACAACTAATCGACCAATGGCGAGAGCAGATCTATAAAATGGACAAGGAAATGGAAAGATTCCCTTTGCGAAAACGGCAGATATATTAGTTAGCGTAACTCATCTGATGGGTGTAACACCCCACCATGGATACCATAGCAACTTTGTTGTGACTTACGACCCCTATTTCCTTACCAGTAACCTTCATCTA